CACCTTGCTGCAATATGTACATGATCTTTTCGCAGCCCCTACCCACGCGGACTGCTATCAAGGAACTAAAGACCTCCTTCAACTGCTTTGGAAGACAAAAATATAAAGTGTCCAGGAAGACACAAATTTGCCCACAAGAGGTCAAATATTTGGGATTCATGGTGACACCAGGGGAGTGCCGACTGGACACTGAAAGAAAACAGGGTATTTATGCCCTCCCAGCCCCAATCACCTGGTAGCAGATAAGAACATTTTTTTGTGTGTGGCAATGGGATTCTGTCATGTCTGAATCCCAAATTTCTCACCTATGGCCAAGCCCTGACATGAAGCCATAAGGAGGGGGCAGGAAGAGAGCCTCTCCTCTAGGAAGTTGACCAAGACAAAGCATTTAAATTAAAAGAAAGCCCCGACCCAGTCCCCAGCCTTAGGAATGGCAGATATAGCTAATCCATTCTTCCCTTATGTCCATGAACACAAAAGAATAGCCATAGAGGTAACCCAGGTCATGAGATCCTGACATTGTCCACTGGCATAGTTGACAAAACACTTAAGACTGTGGCCCTAGCACGGCCTCCATTCTCCAAGGCACTTGCTGCCACTACCCTGGTGACGCAGAAGGTTGATTAACTCTGGAACAGCAATTGACCATTTGAGTACCACACTTGGTTATAACTTTAATGGACTGAAGGGGGCATCATTGGTTGTCAAACCCAAGGATGATGAGATCAGGGGCTTCTATGCAAAAATCCCCAAATAACTCTAGAAATAGTAAACACCCTTACCCAGGAGTGCCAGATATAACTAATCCAGCCCCACAACCCAAAAGAGGCACTGTGTCCATGCCCCTCATCCTGCAACCACCACTCCTGGAGGCCCCAAACTGCTCCCCAAATGAAAGGATATGATTTGCCAGAGAATCTGGAAGTTATATCAAGGGAGGATGGTGAAAATTCTCTGATAAGAGGCTGGCCGTCTCTGAAATGATGGCTCCCAGGTTTGTAAGACAGTTCCATCAAGGGTCTCACATGGGAAAAACAGCACTAGATATTACTGGGCCATTATTTCCATGTGCCATGCTTACTGCCATTACTCAAGCTGTTCATGAGCAATGTCTAACCCATGCTCAAAACAACCCAAAGCAAGGGCCCACCTACCCCCTAGATATTCAGGATACAGACACTATCCAGTGTGAAATGTCATACGGACCTCACTGAACTGCCCCAAGCAGGAGGCCATTGATATATGCTGGTGCTTGTCTGCACCTTCTCAGGTTGGGTTGAGGCCTTCCCCACTTGGACAGAAAAGATATGATAAATGACCCGGAGGCTGGGGATTTAGCTCAGTGGCACAGCACCTGCCTGGAAAGCGCAAGGTCATGAGTTTGATTCCTGGTACCAGAAAAAAACAAAAACAAAAACAAATAAACAAAAAAAGAAACATCATCCTAAGATTCGGACTACCCCTGAACCTGAGGTCAGACAATGGGCTGGCATTCATGGTCGACATAGTTCAGGAGATCACATGAATGTTAAAAATAAAATGAAAATTATATACAGCCTACTGGCCACAGACCTCAGAAAAAGTGGAATACATGGACCAGACACTTCAACAATTGTTAAAAAATATTGCCAAGAAACCCACTTGAGATGGGATCAAGTCTTGCCATGGTCCTCCTCCAGGTCAGGTGCACCCCCACCAAACAAACTGGGTATTCCCCATTGAAATCTTGTTCAGCTGGCCACCCCAAATTATAGATCAGATCAAGGGTAATCTCTGTGAACTAGGCAAGTCGACTAAAAAGACAGATACAGACTTTAGAAATGGCCACAAAAAATATCAGTGGCTAGGTACAAGAAAAGAAAATGCTTGTAAATTTGACAGACTCAATACACCACTTAAAACCTGGGGACTGGGTCAAGAAATAAAATCCAACCACCTCGGGGCCCATGTGGGATGGGCCCCACACTATATCTTGTCTATCTCCACTGCTGTTAAAATTGCAGAAATTGTGCCTTAGATCCATTACAGTCGGCTGAAGCTGGCAGCCCAAGGCAGATGAACCAGAAAACAAGATCCAGACAATCCAAACTGGCTGATCCTGTGGTGAGATTGGGCTGCCACTAAAACTGACAGCCCTGCTCTAGTCACTCCAGAAGCTGCCTAGTCAACACATGGCTGAAACCTGAGGAAACAACAGCCCTGCTCTGGTCACTCTGGAAGCTGACCAGTCCATGCATGGCTGAAACTTGAGGATTGACATGGAGCTGCAACGACATTAAGTCTCTTTATTATAATTCTCTCTTGCCCTTGCTAGAAAAAAAATCCCTAAAAATGTACCCACTCTATTTACACCACATGATCAGGAAACATGGCAAGGTTACTGAGGACACGACTGCTGGAGTTCAAAAGTTAGATCATGTCCCAGTCCAAAGTTGAAAAAGATGGTTACCAGGCACCCTCTTTGGAGGACAGTTTTCATCATTTGGTGGGTTCAAAACCCTAGCAGGGTTTTGAACAACTTAGGAGTTTGTCTTATTCTCCCTTATCTTCTACCTTTATGTGTCAAAATATTGTCAGCTGTAGACTCTGGTGGAAAAACATTCCACCACCCAGCTGATGGCACTAACCAGGTACCAACCTCTGCTCAACAGGGAGTCACTCCCCAGTGACAAAATAAATGATAATGATGATGCTATTAAAGCTTGTCTATAAAGAACATCAAAGGGAGGAATAAAGTGGAACTTGGAGAAAAGCAAATTTTTCTCTCTTTCCAGCATTGACAGTTCCCCTCAAATATCCCCTACTCCATAACTGCTATTTCTCTGTTACAGATAAGGTTAATAATTATAATCCTGTAGGCAGAGTTCTGTGATGCCCAGGTTTCTCAGGAATCTGCTTTCCTGCAAGGCTGACCTCTGCTCTGATGGTGATAAGGTTGACAACTGTGTTCCTGTAAACAGGGTCCTGGGACATCTTGAAATCTGTCTTCTTTCAAAGCTAAATTGTTAAACTCTCACTGAGTAAGTAACTGCCTTTGTCTCAGCTTCTACACCTCCTTCCAGTTTTGGGCCAACTTTTAAAAAATGTATAAAAACGGAAGTTTCTCTTTTGTTTAGTGCTCACCTATTTTGGACAGAAGTCCACTGAGCCTTTATACCCAATAGAGCCCATCTGTTTTCCTTTGGTCTCTCTGATCTCTTGAATTCTATATCAAAATAACTTGCTCTGGGTCACACAGCTACTGAGTGGCAGTGCTAGAGTTGCAGACTTCTGATCTTCCTACCTTCATAATGGGTAACTTGGCATTATGTCCTGATATTTGAAAAATTTTCCTGAGTAGACCAAACAGCAAGGAGCGCTTATGGTTTAGATCTAAAATGTTCCCTCAGTCTCATGTTTTTGGACAGTGACTGGATCATGAGGGCACCAAACTCATCACTCAACTCACCCACTGATGAGTGCAGAAGGTGAATGTACTGTTAGCAAGTGGGGCCTGGTTGGAGGCAGGTTACCTGCAGTGTGACCTGGATGGGTCTTGTCCCTGGTTCTCCCTCCTTTCTCTGCTTCCTGGCACCATGATCTGAGCAGCTTTTCTCCATCAGACCCTTCCTGTGTGTCATTTCTCTCTTGAAGCCAGCCTCCCATGGATGGAACACCCTGAAGCTGTGAGACAAATAAACTGCTCCTCCTTTAAGGTGTTTTGTCCCGGCGACTAGAAAACGACCAGTGCAGGATCATTTAAGCAAGAGCAGCAGCACAGCTATTCAAGGACTGAGGTATAAATTAAAGTAAAATCAAGCATATATGACTGTTCCCAAAGCTGAAGTCATATCAGCAGTCAATTACAATCACATGGCAGAAACAAACAGGGTTCTGTGCAAATCCTTTGCCTACCCAATCAATAATTTCTTTTTTCTTTTTGTCTTTTTGAGACAGGGTCTCGCTATGCAGTTCAGGCTGGCCCTGAGCTCACTTTGTCGCCCAGGCTGGTCTGGAACTTGCAATGATCCTCCTGCCTCAGCCTCCCAAGTGCTGGGATTACAGGTGGGTGCCACCACTCCCGGACAATCAATAATTTCTAACAGGTTCAACTTCTCGGTTATATTTGAATTTTCCCCATAGAGACACAGCAGTTCTACTCTTTTGTAAACGTTCTGTTAAGGAAGGTGCTGTCATTGATCTATAGGTGCTCCCGACCACCTCTCTGTGGATTTTTCTGAGCTGATTTAATCTGGAAGTAGGTTTCCCAGATGTTCCCCAGCATTCAATTTGCAACGCAAGTCCTTGTCTTTGGCTCTGTGTTGGGGGTCGCTGGGACTCTCCATCATGAAATTATCCGCACTAGAGTCCAGCTTGAGGTCAGTAAAACAAACCATTCAAAAAACACAAAGAAATCCAAGATTCCTTTCCTTTTGGCGAAGTTCAAGTGCTCCTTGATATTTACCCAAGTCATACTTCCTGATGCATTTCCAGTGGGAATTATAGCGGTGTTGCCTGATTTTATTTTACATATCCACAAAGCTTGCTACTGATTGAATTTCCTCCAGTTACCCTCAAGGGATTTTTTTTTTCTTTTTTCTTTTCTTTTTTTTTTTTTTTCTCCGGTACCAGGAACCGAACTCACGACCTTGCGCTTGCCAGACAGGCGCTTTGCCGCTGAGCTAAATCCCCAGCCCCCTCAAGGGATTTTTTTTAAAAGAATCCTTTTTAAAAGAATCTTTTCTCGTGTAGTACACTCACAAAGTGGGTAACCACAACTTTTATGCCCAAGGCCGCACAAAGCTTCACCTTTCTAGTTTGCCTAGAGCCTTGCACGAGGTGCTACTCAACTTTCGCGGAGTGGAAGAGGGACTGCCCCCTGACCGGCCACTTCCGGTTTGGAGCGGCGCAGTAGCAGTAGGGGTGCTTGGCAACGCCCTCCTGGGCGGACCTTACTCCCGACTCTGCGAGGCCGTCCGGAAGGTGGGCGGGGCGCGCGGGGTGGGCGGGGCGCGCTGGGTGGGCGGAGCCCCCGGAAGCGTCTTCGCGGACCCAGCGCAACAGGCGGCGCCCAGGGTCTGAGCCGGAGCTGCAGGCGCGCGCGGGATGGACAAGCTGAAGAAGGTGCTGAGCGGGCAGGACACCGAGGACCGGAGCGGCCTGTCCGAGGTGAGAGCCCTGCGGACACGAAGCAAAGCCAGGACCCCAGAATTTGTCGGGCAGGCCGCTCTTTCGCTGTCTTTCCCGTCACGTCTGGGGCTCCTGTGCTGTCGGCGCCCCTTCGGCGCTCGGTGCCTGGGCCCCTGGAGACACCTGCGCGCCTGGAGCGCGGGGACCGGCGGGGGGCGGCGCCCGGGCCGCGGTGCGTGACCCCGGCCCCGGCCTTGTGCGCCTGGCGCGTCCTGTCCTGTGTCGGCCGCACCGCCCGGCTGTGCGCTCCGGGGACGCCAGCCTTGGCCGGTTCGCCTGGCTCCCACCCGCCGGACTCTGCGGCCGCGCAGGACTCCGGGCGCCGCCTGCTGCTTCATCCCGAAGGATCGCACGCGCCCACGGAACGATGTTTCTCCTTTCTGGGCGCTGGCACCGCTTGCTTTTTGCTTTGCTTTCTGGAAGACACAACCCGTTGTGACTTTTTGGTGTGTTAGTTTTCCCATCTGTAAAATGAGGGTGTCGAACAAGATGGAGATCTGTCTGGAAACAGGAAACCTTTCCAACTGGAAACCTGTCTCCTCCCTCACTTTAATCGTCGTTTCTCCTGGTTTTCGCAGCCTGTTGCACTCACCTGTTGCTTGTGTGGCTGGTTTTATTCTGAGGGTTGTTTGGTTGGTATTGGTTCCTCCCGCCCTTCTGAAATCTCAGCTTGCTTTCCGAATGTTCGCCTTAACACTGTAAAAATCGAGTGTTGGAGAAATGAGGCTCCACTTTTTAAAATACATATTTCGCAACAGCTTGGTGAGTTCTTTTTGAATTATTGCCTTTATTCATTAGTCAGGGCTCAGAGGTAGTTCCTTGAGTTCTCTTTGATTCTCTTCGGTATCCTCATGTTGAACTTCAGAGGGGCTGACAGAGATGTGACGCTGTAGTTGACCCTCCTGGTCTTCTAACGCCTTACGCCGCATCGACGCCAGCAAGTTATTAGGAACCTTCCCAGCTGAGAGAAACACTGCGTTCGGAAGGCTCTTGCGGGTGGAGTGTTGACACTGGGATGATACAGGCATTGCACATTTAGAAATCAAGTGTGAGGGCTGTATTTTAGTTTTAAAACGTACGCGCTGAGTTTTCACCCCAAATGGTGACTGCCTGTGTTGGGTACAATGAAGGGCTTCACTGTTGTAAACTAAGGCAGATGTTATATCTACTTTTTAAAGATTAGGTGCTTTTCTTATGTTCTGAAGTAATGTTGTCAGTATCCTTTTTGCATGTAAGAGCCATCCGTGTGTCACATTGGGTGATGCGTCTGGAAGCAGTTTGTAGCTGGCAGGCTTAATTTTCTGGGCTTTGGCTTAATTTGAATTTACAAGGTTGGTGCTTCCCTTAGGATATCAGTGTTGAAGTGATCATCTCGCATTTTTCATGGTTTTGAGGTTAGCAGCGCTGGAGGATTCTGTGGTATTTATTTGTATGGTAAGCAAGAGGAGGTGGTCTTAAAAATCTTTTCACGTTCAATAACCTTTTTTTTTTTTTTTTTTTTTGGTACCAGGAGTTGAACTCATGACCTCATGCTTTCCAGGCAGGTGCTTGTGCCACTGAGCTATACCCCCAGCCCTCACATTCAATTATCAGCAGAAGTGCTCTTTAAAATTCTTGTCATTTTGATGCGAACTGTAGAAGTATGAGTAATTCAGACCTAACTCTCCTAGGAGGATCTAAAATTTGCATGGCTGTGTCTAATCATAAACAGTCTTGTGCTGAGTTTTCTAATCAATGCTTCATGGACACACCTCAAGTCCTGGTTTCGGAGGACTTCTTCCTGAAGGTATAGGTTTTGTGTTTCCTGTGAAGGATCCTTGGGGCAAGGAAGCTATGAACAGTATCTGACCTTAAATCACAGGAGTAAAACAGAATTCCTTTCTTACCTTCTTGTGGTTACCAGTTCGGTCTCCAGAAAAATTCATAGCTCCACTTCTTGGCAAGAGCCCTTCTTCCCTCCGTGTCTTGTCGTCAAAGGGATCTTTGTGCATGACTGCCGGTCAGACAGAGCCTGAACACGTGGCCTGCAGATTCTTTCCAGGTACTGTTAACTGCTCTAATCCCCGCTCACCAAAACAAAACAAAACAACCCCACAAAACCTAAACCAGCCAACCTGTGCACTAGTACAGCTTCCAGCAACTGTGATTTAGAGATGTTTTACATCAACTGAAATAATTTTGAAAAAGAAGTGTTTGGTTTCACTGAGTCCAGTTAGAACTGGAACAGTGACTTCCCCCCTCTGTGACCAAGTGTGCAGGTGAAAGAGCTTGGAACCACATACAACTGGAAAACACTGGTGAAATGCCCCTCCTCCGGTATTAGCAAACAAATGGTAACATTTGGATGGATTCACCTTGACAGGCTTGTGGAACCAAAATGTCACTTTCCTTTCTGAAAGAAACTAGAAATACATTTTTTGGCAGAACTTCTCCTTCTTGCTAGTGATTTGATTTTTTACGAGGATTGGAATCTCACTGTTGCATCAAGATTATTTAGCACTCTGAGTGCCAAGGCCAATTCAAATGTGACATTTAACCATATCCTGTTAAAAATTGTTTTTAAAAAGGTTGAATCTTGTTGAATATCCTTGTTGATGACAAGCAGTGCTCAGGTACCAAATCTGATCGAAGTCTGCAGCTGCTTTTTTTCCCCCTGCATGCAGCTTTGTTTTTGTTTCCACCCTGGCAAGGTGAGCTCTTTGTTCTTGCTCCAGTGGGAGGAGGGATTTTTTTTTTTTTTTTTTCATTTTATCTTGACTTTGGAGGGCGGTTCCATGGTTGGTTAGAAGTTTTCTAACTCTGTTGTTTGGGCCTAGTACTGACTGGTAACAGAGTCAGGTGTCTCATTTTGGAGCCAGGGGGAGTTTAATAAAGAGACTTCTCAAAGTGGAGAGGTCTTTGGCATGGAAGAAGATGGTGCTTTTGTCTTATCCTAGCTCTGTGCCATCCGTGAATGTGCCTCTGTGCAGGGTCATATGCTGCCACAAGCTCATGCTGGTGCCGTGCACGTGTGAGATTGCAGCGTAAGAAGCCGTTTCAATTCGTGTAACTAGATGGGAGTGGGAGGAGAGCCCTTTCGATGACCCACATACCTTTCTTCTGAGTGGAGACAAAGGCGTTCTACAGCAGTATCTGCCACACCTGGGAGAGCCTCTGGTCCTTCTCTTCCAGCTTCTGGTTTGACAGGTTGGAACCAGGTCCCTGAGCATCCCTTCTAGTCTCTACCAACTGCTTTCCTCCATCAGCAGGTTGGAACATGGTAGGCAGCTTGGACCACTTTGTGAGGCAGACACACAGTGTCCCCAGGGGAACCCTGCATGGGTATTCTTGGACCTGCCTTGGGCTTGGCCTCCCTCTGAAGCTGCCTGGGTCCAGGTGGGATCAGTGATGTCCTCTTGCATCATGGGGATGTCTAGGAAGGTCAAGGATTGGTTGTCATCTTTTTTCTTATTTGGTTCTGGAAATCGAACTCAGGACCTTGTGCTTGCTGCCAGGCACTTGTGCCATTGAGCTATATTCCCAGCCCTGGTTGTCATCTTTGAGATGGTAATGCAGTGGCAAACAGAAACACCAAAATGTCACCCACGATTTGGAGGCAGATTTATTTAATGTTGATGGGCTCTGACGGGGAATCAGTCCTCCCCCAAAATGTTAGGCCCTGATCCTTGGTAATATGGGGCTTATATGGGATAAGCAGGAGGAAGTATAGAAGCAGAGTATTTGGATAACTTCCAAATTGTTATTATTGCTAATAATTGATTATGTTATTATTGCTAATTGATTATGTTATTATTGCTAATTGATTATGTTATTATTGCTAATTGACCAGAATGAAAAAACTACATCATATATCTCGCAAGTATGTAAGTTCAAACTCGGAAATACCAGAAGCATACAGGTTCGGGGTGGGGTCAGACTCGGGGTTGCAGGAAGTGAGTGCTTGAGATAATATATGAGTTCAGGGTACGGTTGGTTAGATAAGGGACATATGTACCTAGTGTTGGTGGAAAACAGGAAGACAAACCTGCTGAGGGGAGTAGCTAGTTACAGAAATTTAATTCTAAAAAGTTAGTTCTCTATTTTCCTCTTCAGTAAAAGAACCATTGGCAGCTGCTTATGGCCTTTCCTGTCTGAATAGCTTTTCTGGAAATCTTGGTTTCCCCTGAACTTCGCTCTGGGGAGAGAGCCCTCAGGAATTCGGAAGGGAGAGAGTCAGGATGAACAGAGCACTACTGAGGCTGTCTCACACCTGGGTGATTTGCCTGATGCCAGCACCTGCACAGAGGGTGGATGGCATGGAGGCCCATGGTGAGGATGCCAGGCTTTGCCCTGAGGTCCCAGGGATGCTGTAGGTACAGAACCCGCTGCAGCTGGGCTGCTAGACCTAAGAGAGGATGATGGGACCGCAGGTGCACCCTGTATCCTGGGGCCCTGCCCGGTGGACCTCAGGCCTTTCCAATCATGGTTCTTGTCCTGCTGGGCTGTCAGAAGATTTTGGGCTACTGGAGGGCTCTCTGGCTGGGCTCCCTGTTAGTGCCTGAGGTGGGAGGTCTTCACCTCTGGAGGAGCTTGTGTCAGCTTTGGAGAGAGGAGGGTACAGCTTTGACAAGAGCTGGATTTGATGATGTTCTATACCTGTCAATGTATAGGATTCTGTTCTCCATGTCTTCTGCAGTACAAATTAGCACCACTTCTAAATTTAATTTTGTGCTTCCTTTGTTTTTGGTAGGTATGCATATGTAATCTTTTTTTTTTTTTTGAAATTTCAGGTTGTTGAGGCATCGTCGTTAAGCTGGGGTACCAGGATAAAAGGCTTCATCGCATGCTTTGCTGTAGGAATTCTCTGCTCACTGTTGGTAAGGTTTCCCTCCCTTCTCCCTCTTTCATCACTATCCTTTTCTCCTTTGTCCTTCACTGAAGTGCACGGGTAGGAAGGCAGGGCATGGTGATACACACCTGTAATCCCAGCACCCTGGGAGGCTGAAGCAGGAGAATTGCAAATTCAAGCCCGGACTGGAATTTTACTAAACTTAGCAATTTAATAGAAGACCCTGTCTCAAAATTAAGAGTGAAAAAAGGGCTCAAGATGTAGCTCAAGATGAAGGCCCTGGATTCAATCCATAGTAGTACTGTGAAAAGAAAAAAAAAAAAAGAAAGAAAGAGAGAGATGGTGCGAAGGATTCCTCTGTGAGCTCCTGGGTGCCGGTGTGGTGGGAGGGTTACTGCTGTGCAAATGCCCTATGCTTGTCTTCCAGGGAACTCTTCTGCTATGGGTGCCCAGGAAGGGACTCTACCTCTTTGCAGTGTTTTACACCTTGGGGAACATCGCATCAATTGGGAGGTAACCACTTTTTTACCCAATCTTCTCCAGTTAGTAGATGGAAAACTGGATATAGATTGTGCTTGGGGGAAGTACAGGCAGATGCTCCAGCGATTTTAAAGGTTTAGAGAAGAAGCCTAGTGACACTATGTATTGTCTGTAATGTTCTTTTAAATTATTATTTTCTTACTCCCTTTAATGAGTTGATCAATCTTCTATTCTTACATCTGGTAATCTGAGCAACTTCTTTGAAGATAACAATGTGCAGTATAACAACCACTGTTAATCTCTGTCATTTGGTTTGAAACCCTGTATCATTTTTAATATCCTTGCTTTGTGTTGTCTGTGTTTTGCTATTGTTCTTTTTTTTTTTTGTACTATTTTTTTTAAATGAAGAAAATAAAAAAGAGATTTAGAGAAGAAAGAGTAGTTGGAATGCATCACAGTCCTGTGTATTATTTCAAAATATTTTATATCTTAGTTTGTCTTTGAAACACCCAGGGAGAAAGCAGGAGAAACGCATTACCACTGTGACTTGTCCCGGGAAAGAGCTGTAGCGGGGGCATCTGGATGCATTCCCCCTGTTGCTGGTCTCACTGGCATCAGAGCCTGAGCGGGTGGTTCTAAAAGCGCTCACCTGGTTATTCCTTAGTGTCTGACCAGCCCAGATTCAGCATCAGCTCATGCAGCACGGTGTTGAGTGGGTGCTTTCTGGAGGTGGCAGCGTTGTGTACCCTGGGGGTGTACAGACACCCCAGGTCAAGCTCATTCACTCTGAGGCTTCCTCCCCCCATGTCCCAACATCTCCAGTCCTGCCTCTCCAGCCGGCTGTGCTGGCCTGGCCTCTGCCTGAATGGCCCACAGGAACCTGAACTCGGTCATCTTGTAGCTCTAAGTGGCGCAGAGGTCTGGGAGTCCAGGTTGCCTTCCTCCCCATGACTGTTTCTCAAGGCTGGGTGTTGACCTTGGTTGCCTGGCTCCTTTTCTTTCCTCTTTGTCCTCTTGGCCATTTGTCCCTCACTGATTGGCTTTGATGCTCACTGGGGAAGCATTGATTATGCTGCTGGGCTGTGAGGCTACAAAAATAAACAGGGCTTGTTCCGTACCCTGGGGAGCTTACCAGCCAGCCAGGGACCAGACGGCTGTCCAAACTGGATGCCCAGGGAGGGGCAGCTGGTCCCACTGGAGCAGAGTCAGGCACGGCATCCTGGAGAAGGTGCTATCTGAGCGGTCTTAGCTTTGGCCCAGATCCCTCTCCCCTGAGGCCCTTCAGCATCCCTCTGCTGGGTTTCTCTGCTTCCTTCACTCCCATATCCAGGCCATTCTTGCTGAGCTGTGGAGCTGCACAGCTACAGCCCCTGGAGTGGCTGGATACTTGCTCATTTGTCAAGACCAGGCTCAAAAGTCGCCTCTCCCAGGAAGCTTTGCCTGATGACTTCCTCCTCCCCAGAGCTGATGATCACCTCCTTGAGGGGTATACTTATGTCTGACAGTACAGGTAGCGTTTATGACAAGGCTGAGCCTGGCTCTCACTTGTCCCCAGTTGTACCCAAAGCCAGCTCGGTATCTGGCAGGAAGAGTCAGATGGTTGAGTGCACGAATGTAGTCACCTTTTGGAAGTTAATTTATTAATGCACGTGACAGCAAGGTGCTGGCCCTCAGAAGTGTCTAATGTTGCCTCTTAAGGTTTCCCAAATGCTAACTTCTGGGGCAGTTTGTTGTGGGCAGACAGTGAAGATTGAATGCGTAGTCTAGACTGAGCATAATTACAAGGTATGTGGCATAGTCCACAGGAACATTGTAGCAAGTCCTAAGGGAATGCACTTTTCATAGCACTGTGTAGGAAATCATAAAGGGAGGAAATGGTTATTTTCTGGGAGTAACTAGGGGTTTGTATCCTTACTTGTAATCTGTGACATTTTTTTGGTATGTATACTACACAATTTTTTATTTAAAAATTTTATATTGGTGTATGTTTGTAGTATGTAGTAATTACATTCATTGTGCTGATTTGGTACATGTGTGTAACATATGTTAATTCTCTTTACTTCCTCTTAGCTGTGTGATCCTGGAGAAGGAAACTAACCTTTCTGAGCCTCCTTTGTGCATCTCTAAAATAAGTACAGTATAATAATGCCTAACTTGAGCTGGGTGTGGTGGTACATGCCTGTAATACCAGCACTCGGGAGGCTGAGGCAGGAGGATTGCTATAAATTCAAGGCCAGCCTGGGCTACATAGTGAGACCCTGTCCAGAAAAAAAAAAAAAAAAAAAAAAAAGCCTAACTCGAAAAGTTGTCAGTGGGATGAAGTGAATAACTTATGTAGAGTAATAGCTGGTATTTAGCAAATATTGACAAGTATTACACAATATTGTCATTAAAATCACTCTCTGGAGATTATGAAAGAAAATGAAATGCTCTGCTTTTTAACATCACCAACCTAAGCTTGTAGTTTTTTTTCTTTTTAAATTACCTGAGCCTTTCGGTTTTTGGTTCCCATTGGTACATTGTCAAGGAGGCAAGGTGGCTCCTCATGGAGAGGTTGTTGAACTATGTTCTGAGTGTGAGTGTGGCTGTAGGGTAGAGCCAATGCAACTACAGTCCAGGACTGTCTGTATTTGTTTCATGGCTTGGATTTGTAACCTGCTATGTGGGTTCCTTTTCTGAAAAATAAGGGTCCATCAAAATATATGGTGAATGTTTAAATTTATTTTTATTTATTTATTTAGTCTTTTTGAGACAAGGTCTTGCTCTGCAGTTCAGGCAGGCCTTAAGCTCTCTTTGTAGCCCAGGCTGGTTTTGAACTTGCAACGATCCTCCTGCCTCAGCCTCCTGAGTGCTGGGATTACAGGCGTGCACCACCACGCCCGGTGAATGTTTAAATTTAAGAAAACTATTGCAGTAAAAGACACACTGCCATTAATCTTCCTACCCCTTCCTTCAAACACACTTATCCCATCATTCTTGCCACTTTCTGAAGCAGTTCCAGAAGTCCTCTTTTGTGAGTGTCTTTAGTTGTGCTATCATGGCTGCCTTGATGTCCTAAATTGATTCAAAAGATTTATACCCCTTTCTGCCAAATAAAAATATTATATGGGGCTGGGGATATAG